GATAGATAGATAGATAGATAGATAGATAGATAGATAGATAGATAGATCTAGAGCAGCAGGGTTGAATGAGTCTGTGATTGAGTTTTATGGAGGTGTGGGGGAGAATGTCCATGATGGATATCTATATATTATTAGCATCCTTTTCTGCACCACCCCCTCAAGGCGACAAGCTTAAAGCCAAAAACAGACTCTGCAGGTGATCAAAGCGGCAGTCAAGAGGTCAGTATCAGCTCGTTGACACGCCGTTCATTCCCCTCAACTGCTCCTCCAATTCTCTGCTGGAAGACAGTGATCTCCTTTGTTCCACTCCAGACATTAGTGGTATTCTTGTCTCCAGTTTTAGCTCCTCTTTTCCTTAGGCTCTTTATCTAAATGTGTGGACTTGTAAGTGGATGGAAAGAATGTGTTTTGTGGGGCTGGATAAGGGAAGGGGGGAATGAATGATTGCTGACCAATGTGATATGCACAAGGTTCATTTTAGGAAATCTCTGTGGCTTTATTAGGTCACTTGACCTTCTTCTCAGTGCCCTGTTCCTCCAGCCTTTGTTGGTGTTCAACACTTAGTGATGTGCACATAAGGGTCTTGCATAGATCTGAAAAGAAACAATGATTTGGAAATTTAGTGAGCCAGTAGCAGTAGTCTCAGTGAGTCTTGAGAAAGTGCTGTAGCTCCCTCTCTAGGCCGTTTTGACTATTTGCTAATACTGTGGACCATGTTGTGGTCAGCAATCTGTCAGCTAACTAATTATGTTAAAAGAAGATTACAAATATATCTGAAGGTGGAAAAACAGTATTATAGTGAAGGAACTACAAAAGCAGAAGTTTTCTTATGCATATCCTCTGTTTTAGAAATGAGAATAATCATCTATGCTTACTAGACATTAATCAGGTGAATTGTGTATTTCGGAATTGTTGCTATGTATCTGCTTTTTAAAAAGTGACAGAAGTGAGTGGTAATGATAAGTTTAATTCCATTTTTGACATGGAAAAAAAACCTTTTCAGTGTCAAGATTAACTCATCTTCTACACGGTTTGTAGAAAATTAGAATGTTCATTCCAGTTGTTTTACTCTCTACTCAACCACTTCCACATTCCCTCTGGGCAGAAGATCTCCTTCTAACAAGCCCGATCTGTTCTTCTCTGTGACCTCTCACACATCGTGTGTTGGTGGCCAGCACATGGTTAGTTATTTTTAGACTTAATTCTTTTATGCACAATATCTATTTGTTTCAGGAAATCTGTTTTGGGGGGGTTACTTAGAACCAAATGTCAATTTGAAATATGGTACGTGTCAGGACCTTGACAATATTCAAATCGAGGCTGAAAACAGTTTGACTTAACTGTTCATTTGACCATTGATTTAATTGATCTGCACTCTTCATTTTTTATCTATTTAATCAATGATTGTTTTGTTTAGTTTAACTTACTTTTATTTATTTTACTTATCTTTATTTTCTGCATTTGAACTCTCTGTAAAGCACTTTGAATGGTCTTGTACACAAAATGTGCTATACAAATACAATCGTCTTGCCTTAAATATATGTAATCATGCTCACAGATGTTAATATCTATTCAATAATAACATGTAAAAAAAGGTTTTTGTGTGTGTTTCTTTACCAAGAAACTCACCAAATGGCACATGGTGCTTCAGCACCTATAGGACAAGACTTAGTGGCAATGAGTTTTCAAAAAATACTTTCTCTCAGGTCCAGATTGTTTCTTTCCTGACTTGCTTTGAGTTGATTATCCCATTGTATTTTATTTGGTTGCCGTTAACTATGTTCTGATTTAAATGTTTTATTTTTTTTTTTTTACAGGTGGGGGTCATAAATCATAACACAGCTGAAGGTTTTGACAAAAAATGTATAATATAATATCTTTCATGATTTGGACTTTTATTAATTTTGAAGTCCCAGTTGCCATCTCAGCTCTCAGCCTCTTCTTCTCTCCTGTCATAATGACGGTGACCAGCAGAGAATGCTCTAAGACCTAAATGGTACAAGTAACGGCTTTGAGAAACAACCTAAGACAATGTCTTTGTGTGCGTGTGTGTTTGTGTCTTTGGGGGTTTCATGGTTTTTTTTAATACACCACAATGAAAAATGAAAACACTATGAATACATCAAGTCTCATCAAAACAAACATTGGTTTTCCTGCCTCTGCTTGATTTTTAGAAAAATGCGTCTCTTCTCTTATGAGTTTAGTCTTTTTCAACAAATGTGCAAAGTGGGTGCCCGGAGAAAGTCTTCCATGGAGCATAATTTATTTAGAAAGTTTACCCTTTGATTTATAAAGATCAAAACAATGAGCTGTTCTGAATTGATTTCCCTCCTTTTTAATTATTACTGAATGCTGTGGGGAGAATGGTGTAATAATTAGACAATATACTTGAGATGGAGCTTGCATTCACAAACTGATTAAAAGATGCATTTTCACTGTCTGAGGAAAGAGATAACTTTAATTACACAATAGATTCTCAGCTACGCTCAAAATACCAAAAACTAATTTCTCCACTTATGCAAATTGACCAGTTCATATGTTTGTGTAGAATAAAGCTTTCATGGAAGACTGAGCTCAATCATATGCTTGCAGGAAGGAGTGGTGTTTCTGTGCTAATACGAGCAGAAGAACCCTCAGCGCTCTGTTTTTCCTTTGTTCGTGATTTTGTCAACAAAGATTGATTGCAACAAGATACAAGAGTTGTGAATATCAGTATTCTGTTGTGATAAAATATGAGTTTGTTCTCTCTTCTTTCTCATTTTGAGCCACTTTCGAAGTTTGAGTCGCATCTATCTGAGATATTGAGATAGCTTTCTTTGCCAGGTGATGGTTTGGTAGCATTTAATTAAAAGGAAAAGATGCCCGACTTGATCCGGAGTATTGATGAACTTAATTTGATTTGGTACCTTTGTCTTCATTGGTAAGGACATCCATACAAAGCGAAGACCTTGTCAAAAGTTAACTATCTCTGAATCATCAGACCCCCCCCCCCCCAATTTTTTAAAGCGGGAAACCAGCACAAGAGGATGGATGTTGGCACAGAAATCCTGCTGTGTTTATGTGCATCTGCATCTGCCTTTCCAGCCTCTTATAATATAGATAATGATCAAAGTTTTTTTAAAACTTAAAGCAACAGCACGTGGATCTCAGCCCATTGGGTCCTGCGTGTTATTGACAGATGCTTTCCAAATAAGACTGCTGTTTTCAGCTTAAAAACAGGCCGCTCTCAATTCTTTTTCTATCAGACATTAAAAGAGCAGGGAAAAAATGCTACAAAGGTGTTATCTGTTTAATTAGCTGCCATTGTGCTAGCAAAGAAATGTCTACTCTACTCTGTGAAGTTTTTCTTTGGATCTTTATCAATTCAATTGAATAATTTATTTTACTGAAGTATTTTTGATTGAGAGCATTGGGTTAACTTGAAGCCATTTTAGATGGTGGCTAGATATTGTTTGATAGAGCCGGAGCTCCAGTGGTGTGTGTGGGGTATGGGATTTGTCAGTAACTTTAGTAACACAGTCAAATCAGAAAATGTGAGATGCAGCAGAGTTGGCCCGAAAGGACAGTGACAGGGAGAGTCAGAGAGTCATATAAAAAAGGCAAATAAAGCATCTTTGGATTTTATCTGGGATATAAAAAACAACCTTGAGTTAAAGGGTTTACACTGTACACCGAGCGAAAACCGCGACTCCCCTGAGTTTTGCACACTCTGAAAAATGCCACGGGAAAACAGGCCATTTCTCCCGAAAGGTTTGCGCCTCAAAGGCAGCCATAGGACGTGAAGCTGGAGGGGGCGGAATAGGTAGTGTGGATAATAGAGAAAATAAGAGGGTGACGATGGAGCGTAAATGCAAGCTGTTGAGTTTCTCTCCAAACACTCCCTGTGTGAGCCATTTTGAATCACCAGCAGGTGACTGTGGTTAGCATCTCCCGGGAGTGTTTGGAGAGCAGGTCACTGTGCAGCACATTGCTAGATCTGAGAGGATTGTTTGTTCTGCGGGAGAAAACAAACAAGGCACAGCAGGGAGGATTCCATGGCAGTTCAAGGTTAAAGCAAGCCCCCCTCACAGTGTCTGTGGCTCTGACAGCCTGCAGAGTGCAGACATTTTCCTGTGGTGATAAGAAAGTTTAGACAAATGGCATTGTAAGAACAAACTTCAGCGGGAAAATTCTTTCAGTGAATCACTACATAACCTTAATCAGACTTATATTGTCAGACTACATCTCCCGAT